GACTAGTTCTAAAAGTCTGTATTTGGCCAAATCAACACTAAACCGTATCGCGAGTGCAGACATTATAAACTAGACATACTTTTCCTAGTAATCGTCGTAAAACATTATCCATTGCTCGTTGGAATGTAGCAGGAGCATTTTTTATTCCGAAGGGCATACGTGTGTATTCGTAATGTCCATGGGCTACAATAAATTCTGTTCTAGGAATACTTTTTGGGTCCATTTCCATCCGGTAAAACCCACCGGCTAAATCCAAAGTCGTAAAATATTGACAACGTCCTAGTTTATCTAATATATCTGCGATATTTGGTATTGGATATTTATCACTTATGGTTTTTTCATTCAACTTGCTGTAAAGAGGATAGTTGGATGATTCCATCTTGAAGCATTTGGTCTATTTGCCTATTTACTTCGTCTTTGTGAATGTGAGGGTTGGTTTTTGTATGAGTTGGGATTTCGTCCGTTGTATTTATTACATGTTTGACTTGATTTGAGAATGTTAATTGATCTCCAGGTTTATGTAATGCATTACCAAATTTTGTCAGCAATTTGAAAAGTTGTTCACGTTCTTCTTGATTTAAATGATCGTGTCTTATTGAAGATTTTAAATCAATTTTTTCTGATGTATTTACTCTTGCAATTATTTTATCATTATTTATGTCAGAATCGAGGCAAAAATTGAATACTTCAAAGTTGTTGAGTTCGATTGGTTCTAGAGGTAAGTTTTCATTTCTACTTCCTTCTAAAATTATCGATCTTTCGGTGTGGTTGAACACGTCTATTGTATAAGTGTTGTTAATTATAGTCACTAATATTGATCGAATTTCAATGTCATCATCACGGAAATATGGCATTATCCATGTGGTTTTGTTAGGTAGATTTGTTTTGAATGTGGACTTTTACATAGTTTTTGGTGGAATTTCAATTGCATATTCGTCGAAGTTTTATCTTTATTGGAATGGAATTTCTAAATAGTGATTTTCAAGTAGTTGATTATTAATGTCGATATTCAGGTTTAATTTACAAAGATCTTTTATTCCTAAAATTCCGTCGAAATAATCATGAAAACGGTATAAAATGAATTCAATTGGTTCAGATATTCCGAAACATAAAAATAGTGGAATGTTTGCTTTAGGTACTAGTAGCTTTTTTTGAACCAGCGCATGTTTGAAGTGTACTAACATACGGTTTGATTGATTCTGGACAATACGTTTCAGCTAAGGATGGTCTAAGCAATGATGCATGTGATCCTGTATCTATAAATAATCGTATATTGTAATTAGGAATTTCTATGAATGGCAATGGATTAATTTGAAAACTATTTAGATTTATATAGAGTTTACTTTGTCCAAGGCTTCCAATTGAAAATTTTCCAATTGTTCTGCAAGATTTTCTTCCATGGGTAAGCGAAGCTCATCCCTTACAAAAATGTTATGTCCAAAAAAGAAACGTTCCAAAAGATAGCATCCGGGGACCTCTGCCTTTATTATACCCCACTGGAAACTGCGTAACTGTCGCTAAAAAGAAAGATCTTCTGGAGTTAATCCAGTTTATTCCGCCATTTTACCAGAATTTTTTTGAATCTTTAAAGTGTTCTTCAGTAGCACAGGATGCTATCCCAATAAATGACGAGAAAAAAATATATATATTTTTTTTTTTTGCATTATTTGATTATAGTCCAATATGGAAAATAATAATACTTGTATGGAACCAAAGCGGACCAACCCACATTATTTTTTGTATTTTTGAAAATATTGTATTATTTTGTTAGCTACATCAAAAAATATATTATTTTTAATATTCTAGTACAAATTAAATTCGAATAAAACATTTTAGAAGTATAAAAAAAATATTGAAAAAATGCATATTTTTGAAACCTAATTTTTTCCATTTAATTATAAGAGTCAGTCAGTGGTCGTCCGCGACTTTGGTTTTATATTTTGAATCTCCGATGTTTCAACGGGGTGGCTTTATGTTTGCGCCGCTCGAATTGAAATTTAAATCCTAACCATGTGTTAGCAGTGGGTAAGTATACACATCTTCGATCAAAGCCCAATTAAGTTAAAATTCGTACATCAGTATGAGAATAACAACGACCAGAAGATTTTTAGATTTTTGAAATGACTGTGCATTTATCATTCAAAAGATTTTAAATTTGGAAGTTTACGATGTATTGCAAAATTTCGCAGTTACTAAGTAATATATGTATGTATTTTATGGTTTTACTCATTTTCTCCAGATAAGATCATTACATACAAAATGTAGGTCATGTACAGATTCACAAATTTTTCCCATTTGGCAAAGAAACTTACCGTCTGCAATAGTTGAAAATATGGAATATTTGGAAATTTTTGAAATTTTGCCACACCCTTATCCCACCTTACCTTAGTTCAAGTTAGCCGATGTAAACCTCACAACGGTAGAAATGCGTTTCAAATTTCAAAAAAAAAAACATCGTATTTATAGACTTGTAATACGTATTTGCCAAAGGTCCAATAATTCATGCCTCCAGAACGCATAAAAGTTATCATTAACTCAACACCGCGGGTTTTATGCACTGCAATTTACCATTTTACGATTTTTTCGTAATCCTATATCCATCCCGGGCCGGTCAAGCAGCCATCGAAACATTATTTGTTGTCGTTGTATAACGTACGTTATAAAACTCTTGTAAAATGTTTGCGCATCATCTCGCTGGTCGGTACTTTTAGCATTCGTTTTACGACTCCTCTTGGCGAGCGGTACTGTTGGTGTTTAGTACTTGTAAGGTTAAAGACTACTATAAATTTAATTTCCATTTTACATTGTAAATCTGAACTAAACCATTTGAAAGTTTTAAATTGAAAGATTTTATGGCTTGCTGAAAATTAAATTAATGGGCTGGTGTCGCTTTGACTTGCAGGAGACCCAGATTTATTGATTAGATCATATCTTATAATATAATGTGTTGAAAAGCAATACAATCAAATACTTTTTTGACAATTGGAATTTAAGCTCTTCCATATAAATCCATAATATAAATAACTAGAAGTCAAAAAGGCGTCGATATACCTATCCAGGCCTATCATTAGGTCAAGATTCCGTTACATGATAAGCGTTTAATTGCTGTATTAGTATCGAGGAAATTTGTAACAAACAACACAGGTGCTATTTCCGACAGCGCCATGGGGGCAGAATTTATGGGACCAGACAGTAGCCATTTCGGTTCATTTGCTTTGGTTTATATGCGGCATGATTTAATAACTTGCGACAGCTTGTACGACTTATTACCGTTTTGATTTATTTATTGCACGATGTGATCGAGTATGAGTTGATGATATTTTAGAAGAGAAGCATTATTTTATTAAATTTTTTTCAATAAATATTGCAGGCGTTATTTACTTTCAAAGCTAATTATTATAAAATTTTAATGTATCTTATCTCATCAACTCAACTGGTCTCCCCTCTTAAAATTATCTCAAAGAAAACAGAGACCATTCAATTTGGCTAATTACCATCGGACGTATTTGTTCAAGCAATGGCCAAAAGAAGAACGACAAAGGGGATGTATGCAAATTTAATTTCGATGGAATCACCGGGAACGAAGCTCCAAAGAAAGAGCACAAACACACAAAACAAACAAACAAAAAAAGTCGACAAAGAGGCCCACTCTCTCACGACAATCGGCTAGTGTACTGCATATTTTACATTTTAGGGGTTGCCGATCTGCATTCAAGTTACTTCTTTGCTAGAGCTTTAGTATAGCTTTTGGCCTTTTGAAAGTAAGATGAATAGCATGTTTAGGCAAAATGTTCTTATGCTATTTATTTGATGCTTTAGAAATGCCTCCCATATATATTTTAATTGTATCTTCGGATGGCTTCCTGTTAAAAAGCTAGTTTCTTTAATTGCTATTTAAAATACGATTTATGCATGGGAATCCAATGCAAAATAATTTGTTTAATACAAAACCATTGCTCCTATTTTATTACATTAATCGGTTTAAAGGATTACTATAAAACTCAGTTGGGATTATTTAAATAAATTTCCAATATAAATTTATATCAGTTTTCTAAACGGAAGACAAGAAGAAGTAGCTCGGACAGCACCTGCGACATCTCCCGGGCCACACCTTAATATATTTATTGCCAATTTAAGAAAATCTCAGGTTACTCTCTTATCAAAAAACAGTGTTACCGAACACGGCCGGTAAAGTAAATTACCATTATCTTGAGCAACGCATTGCAAATTTACATAAGGATTGTCAACTGCGGTGAACTGCGTATATGAGAGAGCCTGGTAAAATGAACTACCTAACTAGATCGAACATCTTTTTGAAGAGATGGTTTTATTTTAAACATAGAAGCAATAATTGGTAAGATGAGTATTATTCAGAATTTAATGAAGTCTTTTTTTTCAAATCATAGCTTCAGAGGACCTATTATTAACCAAATCAAAAAAATATATATAAATGTTTTGTTTTCTACTTCTTGGCCATTGGATATTTCACATTACCACTAGCATGTATACGATCAAACTTATCTTTGCTTAACTATCTACAAAACCTCTCTCTGGAGAAGTAGTTCGCCAAAACTTATTACACGGATAGGATCAAAGTATTACAAACTGCAACATTTCTTCTCATATCGACGCATATAGCCATGCAGGCCCCGAAGAGATAGTGAAGAAGGTATCATACACCAGCAAAGCTGAAATTAAAATACAGCACTTGGTGGAGTCGTACACGCACTTTACTCAAGTAAGATCCGCTATTAAAATAATAAATGAGACGATAAAGCTAGGCATTACAGGCTGGTATCGAAAGCGCAGCGGGTGCTTCATTCTCATCGTGCATATTAATCGGAGAAATAATTAAGCATTTTTCAACGTTTAATCGAGTTATGGAAGACGTACGATAAGAATTTGACCTGATGGCAAATACATTCACCTGCTTGCTCAATTTATTACAATTTTTTCTTTTTAATTCAGGCATCAACAACCAAAGGGAATTTAAAATTTACCTTGATAGATTCCTGTTGTTGCTGCTGTTGCTGAACCATTAACTGCTCGCGCGCCATCTGCAGCTGAAGAATTAATTCGGACAACTTTCTATCTTTTTCCATTAAATTATCACCAGAGAGAGCTTGTTGGATTGCTGCAGCAGATTCCACGTCACTAGAAGAAAAATATTTCATGATATCTCCACCAAAGAACTCACTGACCAGTGACCACCCACCCCACTACAATTTACTTTTATTGGCCAGACATTTGTGTTCTGCTTGGATAATAATTACTCTAGTAAAATTTATTTTTTCGCAATTTGTCGAAAGACATCCACATAACCTTTCTGCTATCAGCATCGAAAATCACAGATTGCATTATTGGCATTATGATTGGTATCTTCTGGTGAAATAGCCAAGCACCAATGACGTTACTGGCTAATAAAAACCTGAATTATGTAAAACCTATATGATGCGGATCTTTTCCAAGGAGTCGGAGCAATTTGTATTTCCAACCATCAAGGATATTTCCTCGAAGTCATCAAATATTGTAACGCAATTTAAATATGAACCGCTCGCTCTTTGCTGTCGCGCCGGCATTCAATATCGTGAAGCTTAATATAATTTTACAGATACATTTTTAATAAAGAGGATTATTAGGTATGTATATAGATTGGAGGTTCATATTTTATGTTTTCCAATCAACATTTATGTAAATTAAAATACTTACTGGCGAAATTTGAAGTTACATTGTTTCTTTTTGTCTCAGGCATCGCGGCCGGCCGCTCTATGCGTTATTAATTCAGATTATTAAAAAGTGGATACGTAAATTTGGTTATTAATGTTCGTTGCGAAATAAATAATGCAAACTTTTGCATTATTATAATAAAGTAAATTTCGAAAATATCCTTGACCAGTTTATAGTGTAGTACAACCCAAACCTCTGACCCAGAATTAAAACAAAAACGATAACTTTTTGTATTAGTGCTTGAAGCATTGTGATTGTGTCCCCATTAACATTGCTGATAGTCTCATTCAAGTAAAGTTCATTATTGTCCCGCCATATCATCGGATTTTTATAATTAATTACCATTAATAAACTATAAAATTATTACGTAAGTCTTATTCAATGTCGATTAATGATTTGTTATATCAATTAATATATATGCCACGTTTCCGGGGAATTTCTTCTTCTGTTTTCTACAGCCTTTGCTGATGAATATTTTGCACTTTGAACTGAATAATTTTGAATTTATTTACGAGAACATAATAAATCTTATTAAATGAGACAGGATTGTATATTTGGCACATAATTATAGTACAAATACTTAAGGACGGACACCCATTGTGAAGCTGCCAGGAAAAAAATATGGATTTATTGTTTCATATTTGAATTGTCTTGCCAGCTACGTATTCGCATGAGTTAGTTAAACAAAAATATGAAGTACATTTGAATAGAAAAATTTTGGATAACTTATTGTGTTCTACTTACGAATTATGTGAATTTGGTGTGGACGACGGTGTAGGCCTCCTCTCCTCCCGTACCGAAGTGTTACTAATTTTCGACGTTAACCGTTTCAATACATCGTCCATGGACCGTTTCAACGGATGTAAGGAACTGTTGTTATTCATTAAACTATTGTTGTTATTATTATAATGAAAGTTACTTTTAATGTCCGAGTTCGGCGAACTACACTCAGAGGAGTTTCTCCGTCGCTCCATTTCCTCATTGTGCAAGGATAAAGCGGAAATACACGGAGACACTGACGTCATTATCGAATGACTACTCTCGTTTGCGCTCGAAATTTTTGCCGTTTTCGATGGGATATGATCCTCGTCTAGTCCGTCGTCTATTTCGCTACCGCAGCCACTTGGTGATGATGATTCAGAAAGTTTATTGTAGAACGCTGAAGAAGTATTCACCATGGTGTTGGTTTCTTCTTCACAGATATCGCTAAGGTTATTGCTGCTAGTTTCGTCTAAATCTGTGAGACCACCTCCGTCACTGCCACTGCCTAAGTTGGTTTGTACTAGTGGTGCTTCAGTGGAAGTGCCTTCTTGAAGTTTTGTTGGTGGTGACTTTCTCTTTGAAGACATATTTCTGTAAAAAATAATTAATGACAATTAAAAATGATGATGGAGAAAACTTTTTGATTAGACTATTTACTTAAAATAATAATTGATGATGATGGCGGAAATTATATAGACGATATAAATTATAAGGAAAAATCGAAAAATAGTAAATAATGATTCGAAATTACCCACAATTACTAATCGTTTTTGCCCCGATTAAATCAAACTAAATGCATAAAATACGATATATTGAAATATGGGACTCCTAAATATATCCTAATAGCGTTCGATCAACCATCCGGGCCAAATTAAATAGAAAGTCGCTCGTAGAAGTCGTGCCTTCCCACTTCCACGTTTTAATTAAGGAAGATGGAAAGTGACCACATTTACCTGCTGAATAATTTCAGTGCCTAAGAAACAGACTACCTCTTCGAAGGACTATTTGCATCTCAATTTCCGATACGACATAGAAAATAGATTCCGAGAAGTGCAATTAGATTTAAATCAACTGGGCTGGTAATGGGTGCAGATATTCGTTTGCTCTCTTGGGTCGGGTTAAACCAATTGCGTAAAATTGGTTCTCGAATTATAATAAAATGCTCCTTTTGCATTTGAAGCAATATTCGTGCCACACCCTTTTAGAGCTATCCAGGAGGAGCTCATGTTTTCGTAATGCATTAGCCATTTATACTTTGCAATACGGATAAAATGCATATTGTACCTACTAGCATTTTTGATAAATAGGATTTAGATTGAAAATCAAATAAATTTGTATATAGCGGTTGAAATCTCGGATGAGAATTACATGTATTTTATTTTGTTCCATTATGTGGAAGTCTCTATTTTTATACAAATTAAAGGCAGATAAACATACCTTGTTTCTCTATTCCGCCTTGTTTAGAGGATAGATAGGAGCATTTTCCTTGTAGATTTGTTTCTAAACAAAGGGATCTTGTTTTTCAATCAAAACTCTTGGGATGAAACCTCTAGTTCTCGATTCCTCCTTAAGGATTCAATGAGAAAAAATGATTGGGGATTAGGAGGTTTTTTTTTTTTTTTTTTTTTTTTTTTACGGATATGCGCACCCGCAAGGAAATGTCCTATCACGCTCGAGAAGCGGCAAGTGCGCGGAAATGTCGGTGTATGTTTGTCTTGAAACGGTTCAGGTTGTAACCTGCAGGGAAAACCGTCGCAGGGAGTTTATTCCACAGCGATGCTGTTCTCCAGAGATATGAATTCTGATATAATGAGGTTCTTGGTGCCTCTAGTTTGACAGTAAATTCATGGTTACCGTCTGTTTGACGGGTTCGCCTGGTAGGTGCTACTCTCGGTGGAATTATACGTGCCAACTCTTCAGAGCATTTTCCGTGATAGTACCTGTAGAAGAGAGATAAATCGCCCACAGATCTGCGATGTTCGAGACCATCCAAGTTACGAGTAAGTGCGGGGTCATTGATCAGCTTGATAGCTCGTTTTTGCACGGTATTCAAAAGCATTAAGGTATGTTTGGGTGCTGCACTCCATATATGTGAACAGTACTCCATAGTTGGTCGAATCTGGGCTTTGTAGAGTGTCAGCAATTGGCTTGGTGTGTACAGATGTCTTGTACGAAATAGCACCCCCAGCTTTTGGGAGGCCTTTTTAGCAATATCTGCCACGTGACTGTGCCAAGACATGTTGGTCTCTGCAGTAACCCCCAAGATGTTCAAGTGACTCTGTAATGTGACCGCACTTCCAGATAGCATGATGTTTGGCTCACCGGTGCTGGTCTTTTTTGAAAACAGAGCTGCTTGGGTTTTCTGCGCGTTGAACTGTACAAGGTTTTTGTTACCCCAGTCCTCTATTATCTCCAGGTCGTTATTTATCTGCGATATTTGAGTTAGTCTAAGATGATGGAATTCACGTGCGGAAAGACCTGTGGGTGGTATGAGTGAGGAGACTACATTGCCATCGTCTGCAAAGCAATAAAGTGGATTTACTGTTTTATCTATGAGGTCATTTATGTAAATCAGGAAAAGAGTTGGCGAAAGGATTGCTCCCTGTGGCACACCAGCATTTATTTGGTAAGAGTTGGAGTTCTGGCCATCCAGTGCAACATAAATGGATCTGTCCTTTAGGTAACTTTCAAACCAAGTGCAAAGTTTTGGCGATAATCCCATTGCTTTGAGCTTGTTGAGCAGATTTTCATGCCAAACTTTGTCGAATGCTTTAGATATATCTAAGGCAATTGTTCTTGTTTCACCCCGCAACTCAATCGCTTTTTGCCATAAGTGAGTGACGTATGTAAGTAAATCGCCAGTTGACCTATATTTTCGAAATCCGTATTGCTTATCGTTGATAATTTTGTACTTTTCCAAGTACTTGGTTAGGTGATTGTTCACAACTCTTTCCATTACTTTTGATATCACCGGAAGTAGAGCAATTGGTCTATAGTTTAACGGATCTGTCTTTTTTCCTTTCTTTGGAATGGGTTGTACTGCGGCAGACTTCCATGATGATGTATATACTCCTTGCCTGTAAGACAAATTGAATAATTTTGCGAAAGTTGGGGTGAGTTCGTTGGCGCAATTTTTGAGTACTATTGCGGGAATGCCATCCGGACCCATTGCTTTGTTTGTATCCAGCTTTTTTAGGGATTTTCGTATTTCTCTGTGACAAAAGGGTACCTCTGGCATACTATGGGAAACCCTTTCAATTAACGGTGGAGTTTTTCCGTTTGGCACTGTTAGGTTGGAGTTGGAGGAAAACATTTGGGCAAGCATATTGGCTTTTTCCTCTGATGTTGTGGCTAAGTGATTATTTTTATCTGTAAGTGGTGGTATGGATGACTTGGTGAAGTTAGATCCAACAGCTTTTGCAAGAGACCAAAAAGACCTAGAACTACTTGGACAATTCAGCAACCTGTTTTTTATTCTTTGATTGTATGTTTCTTTAGCGGAGTCAATAGTAATTTTGCAACTATTTCTGGCTTCTATAAATTCTGTGTGGTTTTGAGCGGTTTGTTGTCGTTTCCAAAGGTTATATGCTCTGTGTTTTTTCTGTACAGCCGTTTGACACTGGCTGTTGAACCAAGGTTTTGCATTAGCTCTACGTTTAGTTGTATGTGGGATATATGCGTCCATTCCAGATAAGATTACTTGTGTTATTTCATTACAGCAAATAGTGGGATCAGCTGTTTTAAAGCAAACCTCTTGCCATGGAAAATCCAGGTAATACTGTTTTAGGTCATTCCATTTTGCCGATTTATAGTGCCACATTTTACGAGGAAGTGGTTGTAGGCTTGGTGGGATGAGCATTTCGCACTTTGTTATTATAAGTTTATGATCGGACGAACCAAGTGGAGCATCTACTTGAATTGTGTACGAGTCAGGATTGGTGGTTAGGAACAAGTCTAAAAGCGCTGCAAATTCGCCCCTTTCTGAGATACGGGTAGGTTCATCGACAAGCTGCGTTAGACCACAACTTATGGCAAAAGCTTCTGCTTCTCTGCCTTCGTTATCTGTTTTGTTGTGGTGTTTCAGCCAGGGTATATTGTGGACGTTGAAATCGCCTAAAAAGACAATTTCCGCCTGTGGATAGTTTGACTGTATACTATCACAGCTTTCGGATAATGTCGTGAAAAAGTTTTGGTAATCGGTGTTACTTGGCGGTAGGTAGAGGCAGCAGATAAACTTGGTCGATGACTTTGAGGTGAATTTTAGCCATATGATATCAAGGTTCGCTGGTTCTAGCTTCTCCTCTCGATGACATGAAAGGTCATTTTTAATGTACACACAGATCCCAAAATTATGTCGAAATCGGTGGTGTAGGTCATAGCCGGGATAAAGATAGTTCACAATAGGTGTTGCAGAACTGATTCTAGTTTCAGTGAGAACAAGGATGTCAGGTCTTTGTTCTTCAAGATGTTGGTGAACTGAATTCATATTTGTACTTATTCCTCTTATATTGCTAAAATCAATTCTGAGTTGAGTTTTTGATCTTCTTTGTTGTTGGTTGTAGTATAAAATACCCGGGTTCGTTCAGCAAGATTGATCCGTTTATTTTTATCTCTTTTTAAACAGTAAATCTTCTGAAAAACGAAATGAAAAACAAATAAGACCTACGTTGTGGTAACTTACTCAATTTTACTTATTTGACATGCGCCCGACAGCAAAATTAGGGAAATTCAAGGGAAGTTGTAAAATAAACGAAGAATTTGTGAAACGTCTACTTTATTATTAAAGTAAATCGTACCGTTCTCGACCTGGAACCAACGAGGGGAGAGAGCACGGCAGAGAAACCCTCGATCTAACATTCCTCAAAAATCAAAACATCATTTTGATAATAATTGTGAGTCAATGAAAGTTTAAATTGTCCTTATGCTAAAACTTTAATTTCACACACCACATCCAATCAACACTACCTATATTCAATACAGAAGAATTTTTTGGTTAGTTAGCCAGTTCCACCAGCAAGTACTTAGGTCCCTGGTTACGGGAGACTACTCAGCTATAGTTGTTATTTGGAGCCAATATCTCTAGATTGATTTTTCAATTTGTTGCAGGATATTCGCTCGTCAAGGTAGGAAAATGTTAGTAGATTCAACAAGGCTCTAATGTAAGCTCTGAATACCAAAAATCAAAATCCCATCACAAAAGACAGCACATGATTTCTTAGGTTTTAATTTACTCTCTATCTGCGTTGCTTACAGTATGAAACGATTTTTGGTAAATACATGAACAATGCACATGTTATAAAAAAATATTATAAACAAACAGAAAACATAGAAATGGAAAAATAATAAATTGAACTCTCAAAAACAAAATAACATTTAATCAACTGACCTGTGAATGATCCTTATGACACACAAACTAATCACAAATTGGATTGAACTATCAATTAAATACAAAATAGAAAAATTGAATAATGATCAATGGCGGACAACCTTCTTCTTAGTTCTTGGTCTCTCATTTTCTTTCTACCTACCCTTCGGTACCTTTTCGTGTGGCGCGTCCCCGTTCCTATAAAATTCAGAACGCATACATGGTT